CGGGTTGGACGAAGGTCGTGATTCGGTACCGGAGACGACAGAATCTCTCTCTTCACCACAACGTCCAGACCGGCCCAGAAGTCCACTCAACCTTGGGTTCTTTTCCAGGGTTAAGCGGCCAGGGTGTGAAGACGAATGGGAACCTTCGGCTTCCATGAAAGTCAGCCATTTTTTTTGACCATCTGAGCAATTATCAATTTTTGCAGAGCCCTGTTACATGGAGATAGCTCTTTGTTTAATGCTCATTTATATTTTAAATGAATTCTTCCTGTTATTGCCATTTAATTACTATATAACAATTAACACAGTCTTTAACGATGGAAAATATCTGATTATGAAATTAACCGCTTTGACTTGAATCTGTGTGAAAAACAAAACTTCATTTTCCAGGAGCTCTGTTACCGGGTGTTGTCATGGTATTTCTGTGCAAGTTTCAATCGATAGATTGCAACACGGGAGATTGGATATCGAGCTACCAGTTAGAGTAATGTGCATTAGCTAATTGTATGACTCGTTTATGCCATTGTTTCGAGGTGTGCAGTTATATTCATGGCACGAAGCGGAAGTTTTCTTTATGTGTTTCTGAATGATCGACGTTGCATTTCTGTACTCTGGACGACCGACGACCGCTGACGAGCCAATGCCAACACATGACGAAGTTCGGTGACACACGTATTTCAGTTAGGGACACTTGAATTTCTGTGAGTTTTGTTGAGCACGACAAGAAAGGTGTACCAGTGCCACACAACAATACAATAACCTTGTTCTAAAAGCGTCTGTGCGCTATATCTCACCGTTATTTGAAATAAATCCTATTCGTAGTTAGACAACCCTATAAACTAATGTTACGTTTAGAAATCTGTTTTTGAAATAAATTTTTGAATATTCGTTGCATGTGGCAAGAAAATAATTTTGTCTATCTAGTGAGATTTCAGAACTGTTGTGAAAACAATTTTGGAACCTAATAGGCATGTGAACAAAAATTTTGAAACATGTTTGGTCATCATCTTTTGTTGGGTAACGAAAACAGCCTTCCTTTTTACTTGCTTGCAAGTGTTGTGTAAGCAAAAATGATGTATAAACCAGGAGTGATTTTGTAAGCGATGCTCATATTTCCATGTGATTGTAATGATAGGGTAGTTATTTTTATCGTAGACAAGTCACTTTAAGTTGTTGTTTATCCAAATTGGCATTGGAAGTGGCTAAAAGACTTGGTTTTAGTGGCCTATTATCTGTTTCCTTTTATCAGAAATTTTTTATTTTCAACTGTGCTCGTATTTGCCACAGTTTCTCTGTCGTTCGAACTTAACCCCAAACTACAGATTTAGAGTGGCAGAAAGGCTTGGAGGTTGCTGTACTTAGCATGAAATTACTCTTATATTGATCAATGCTCAGGTAAGCCTCGTGGCGAAATGAGTACATCTTTTACAAAATTGTATGTCGGTGATTGAAAGTCAAAAAAGTAAAAATGGCATAAGGCATGTAGTTCCGTACGTGATTCAACCGCTTTGTATGAACGAGTAAGATACGTCGAGGTTTTTGTACTGATAGGTGGTCTGCTCGAGATAAAGTATGTGGTGTCGAAGCAATACATTTCTGTCGTTTTTTATCCTGTGAAATATATTTTATTAAATGTCTTCAGTGACAGCATTTCGACTGAGAATTCGAACCCTCTCGGTCGGTTTGCATTGTTTATTGTGGCAGCAGCTACTGTCTAAAGATATCTTTTTACTGTGTTGCGTTGATAAGGTCACATTGACTCAAGGGCAAGGGATGTTGTAGCCTCGGTGTTTGAAGTATTTCCATGTGGATGTAGTCTGTGTTTAGGGCACGAATATATTTAATTTTTTTTTTACTATAAATACTATTTTCAGAACCACGTAGAAGTTCCAGCCAAATCTGGATATTTCAGCAATAAATTTGCGCTGGTTTCGGTAATGACGAATTTTCTTCCTTTTAAGTACTCATGTGTTTATGAAAGTTCTGTTGAGACATATTGAAACGCAGGACTAAAGTTTTTACGAAAAATTGTCGAACCATTTTAATATTTATTGAGATCGGACAGTTTTAAAGATCGCTTTGCGAAAGAGCGTGAATAATGTTATGAGCTTATCTCATATGTTTCAGAAAAAGGTTTCACAAACTGGTTTTTAACTATTCTTGAATATACATGAATATTAAGTTTCATAAATGGATTTTAGGTTACGTCGAAAACGTTTACTACAGTATTTATTAATTTAAATTGATTGATATGATCAATGATGAGCGCAGTTCAGTTCAATTTTTGTCCTTCGCTCACCCTCCACGCACCAAAAGTCGAGCATGGTAAAGTATTGAAGGTTTCTATCTGAATACGTACAGGCCTGAGGACTTAGCAGCTTTGTAGGCTTTGTGTTCGTTCATTCAAGCGTTTTTAAATATGATTGATTTACTTCTCTTAATATCCAAGATGTGGTGAAGTGGTTAGTACTTCATCGTCATATTTACGAAGTCGCAGGTTCCATTTTAATCTCAGAGGTTTTACGTGGTTTTGTCAGTCCCCCAGTATTAACTATTATAGCCTATAAACCACGACCACTTCCTACAAAGTTCTTGTCCCTAACATTAGACCCCACCCAGGCTATGAAATTAATGGTCGTCGTTAAATGAATTACGAAACACAAAAAATTTTTTTTAGAGAAAGACTAGTATGGGAACATTTTTGTTGGCTGTGACTGTACTTGGCTAATTTCCTTACTGTTGTTCATTTGTGTCTTCCTTATTACTGACAACGACAAATTGCAAACATGGAAACAGGACGAAGCAGGCTTTGATTCTGTCTTTGAATGGTGTAGTTCCATTTTAGATGTTACACCGGAAAGCTGCACTAAATTAATGGAACCGAGAATTTCGGACAAAGCTGCCTGCACGTTTAACAACTGATAACTACAGAGAAGTTTGGCAGTGAAAGATTCTTTGTTTTAGATAACATCTTCGAAATTGCAAGGACAGTTGCATAGCAACTATTTCGGATTTAATACTTGCTCTAGACACATTTGATTTGGGAAATTTTCCGACTAAGGCATTTCTGTTTCAGTCATTAGGAAAGTTATTACGTTTCGCGTAATTTTTTCCGCTCAAAATCTTGACCGTATAATTTTATATTATTTTGTTCCTCGGTAATCCGACCTCCATAACCAGACTGTACGATTTGTACTATAATAATGACTTACAAAATCTACATTTAGACCACTTCGAAGTAAGATGTGTCCTGGGTCAAATGTGTTAGGACCAAAGGTATAATAATTTCCTGCTCGGTCCGTGGTAGATGTATATGGAGCGATGGTGGAATGATCATTGAAGGGGAACAACGTAGAACTCCGTAGATTGGTTCACCATTAGCTATATCGCCAATTACATTCACACAAGTCATTAAATTATAAAAAAACATAACTAATAGAAAGACATATCTCCCCAACAGACAGTTCATTGTAATGAAACCTCTGTAAATCGGTACATAAGGGAAAACACGTAGGCCCAATAGTTTGCTGTTGGACAATGGTGGTAAATTTGTCTTACGTTAACTTGTTGTAGGGGCCTTGCAGCCTTTACGGGGTGACATAGATGTACACCCTAAAAGCCAGTACGGGGCTGGAGGGTGCCGGACGTCATCGTGTTTGGGTTGCTATGTCAACCAGTTTTCCGCAACGCTCTGAAAGCCCATGACGTGACGTCATGCGCGCAAAACCATGCTCCCATAATCCCATGCTTTTGCGCAGGAGCCCGTAGGAGTGAAGGAGACAGAAATTCGTTTTCAAAATGGCGTTTGTGCTAGAAGTTGGACAGAAGTGCTTCTGTCAGAGTATTAGGATGTCGTAGTTTGCAAATTTAATGGGGGGACAGAGTGAACCCTGAAAAATTTCGGTTCCGATACTGTGATTGCTATAAAGGTCATGTGTGCATGGTATGTGATATTTTTTTAAGTGTATCTTTCAATTTTTTCTGTGTGTGGTTGTGGAAATGGTACCGAGCCACTGCGACAGTTCTATATAAATACAGTGGTACGTGTCGGTCGATGAGTGCAGCGCCAGTACTTAATTTTTTTGTGACTTTATTTCTCAGTTTTCGTAAGGAACTGACACGGATCTACGTATAAGTCGACATTCCAACAGTGTTATAATAAGGTTCATGAAGTTCTCATAATATCAATGTAAGTGTTACAGTGTTTGTTTAAATTTTCTCTGTTGTCTCATCATCGAAAGTGTTACTTATCATCACTGTCGTGAGAAATTACGCATTATGCTACTCTGATGTGTTGTTGCGGATTCCACAGATCATACATAATCTGGATTTTCCCGGCAGTTTCATCTAGGTATGAGCTACATCGAGGTTTATCTATGGCTTGCTCTCGACTGTACCATTAGTCATGTAACTAAATTCATTAATATCTACGTTATGATTGTCGTAAACGCTGCATGAAAGTCATATCTTCAGTCATTGCTGTGACTTGATTTCCGAAGCTAATGAACTCGTTTAGATAACACGTGGTGTGAATAAAAATCTACTCTAAAAGTTGCAGGGCGAATTTTATTTCAGTCTAATAGGATATAATATATACTTTTTCATGTCAAAATATAACATCGTTTTTCTCAATTTATGTAAAATATGAAGCAGTCTCAAAATAATGACCCACAGCATGTAGATATTATTATAAATATTTTAGGTAGGTTTATTTTTGACAAAATAAACTGAAAATATGTTGTGATTACGTAATTATGTATCTATATGTGCAGCTTTTCAACTCTAGATTTGTGTCTGCGACAAATGAACGTAAAAACAAGTACGAAACATTTTATAGAACGCATTTATAAAATACGGGTGCTCTAAATTTGGATTTGCCCTTCCCTCTTTATTTTGTTAGTGCAGCGGCTCACTTCATGGAGTTTGGTCATTTTCAGCAGCTCTATGCTTGCCATAAAATGTCTTCAATTTCATGGCTGTGTTCACAACAGCCCGTCCTGGGCCAGATAATCTAGTCAGAATCTTTAAACTCTATTTTAAAGGCACATTTTAACATTATCTACGTTTGGGCTTTCGACATCGGGTATATCTGCATTTAATTATATTCAAAAACAGAAAATCGAAACACTGTGGAGTTAGGGTTGTAGTTTCTGAACTTTGTCCTCACTATCGCCAGCTGTTTAATTCCTGCAGAAGTGACGTGCTGATAGGTGCATTTAAAACACTGCCTGATAAGTGTAATTAAGTCTTTATATAAGCGGCTGTGTATGGAAATTCACTTTACATTTCGCTGTAATGTGGCTACAGCTTCTCCGGTAGGAGTGCTATATGGGCGTATATAAACAGTTTCAAGTCCGGGACTACGCGAAGAAACATGCTTATGGTACTTATTTTGTTTAAATAAACTTTAATATAAGATAGAAATTGAAGAAAGGGTTATGTATTGTTGTCATAATTTCAGCTTGAGTCGGTAGAGGTGAGAAATGCAAATTAGGCTGCTTATTATTTTATTTATTTAAATTTTTCAGGGAATAAATAAATATTGTGCTTTAATTTTTTTGTCAGCTTCTATCAAAAACCTGTCAGTAATACTGTAATGTAAAGCTAAGAACTCTACAGTTTTCGTAAGAATTTTCTATTGCATGTTCCTTAACATTACTACCAAGCGGACATTTATCCGTAAATTCAATACTTTGCTCAACGACTGAGAGGTTACGTTGTGGACCTTACAGCAATTATAGAACTAGCTCAGCCGAACGTTACGTTAAGAGACTCAGAATACATTATATTACGGAATTTAATTTTTACTCTGAAGTTCATTAGTCAGGCTCTGATAAGCTGTGCTGTTGGGAATACACATTATTACTGCCATTGTGTACACAGCGCAGCCGCAAAGTGAGCTTGTATTTCTGAATTGCCGGGAGAAGCGTCCAAGTTTTCGGCTAGATTTAGCACTCGAAGATGAATCCTCAGTATTCCTACAAAGCGAGAAAGACGTGTTAGATCAACAGCGTTTCTTATAGAGCAAGCAACATTTCTTCCAATCCTTATAACGCGTGGAAAATTTGAGAAGTGCGTATGCTTTCTTTTGTCGGAAAGCATGATGGAAAGAAGCAGACTGATTATGATTTAGCGGACGAAGGATTTATGAAGACTGCATTGGCCTGTGCTTATGTTTCGGTCAGCTATCTCTTCATCATAATCATTCCTCCAGTTTGTAGTATTCCAGACTGGCCAGTGAAATTAATGAAACTGCTGTAACTAGGTACTGAACGTCATCCTAATAAGTATATTAGCTGCATCAATTTATCGTATTTTACAGCACGATATTAAATGTGTATGTGAAGAGACAGCTTTAAATTGTGGAATGCCACTTATTTCAGGATTTGTGAGGAAAATAACTCAAAATAACAGTGGTACAATGTCTCCAACTCGGTTTTGAGGTCTGACCCCCCCCAAGAGGATGCATTTATTCGCACTAAGATTATATTAATATTTCTTTAATAGGGACTATAAGGTTAATCTAATCGATTTCGCCATTTAAGATCTCAAGAATCTTGTAAATGCAGAATGAATTCGCATATTGAAACTCTGCTTAACCAGTTACTTGATATTACTGAGATTGCAGTTTTCAATGAAACGGTCTTAGCAAATTGATACCACTGTCTTTGCATGATTATGATGGTTATGCCATCTAAAAACAGAAAACCATTGTCATGTTAACGAACCTAAGGCTATCGAATGTGAATTGACAACCTACGTACATATTCTTGTGACTTAATCACGCAAATACAGGAAAATTTTCTTATCGTATGGAATATTTGTGGAAAATTGTTCCATTGTACATAATTTACTCTCCTGTGTAATAGTTTGTGACCATAGTAGGAACGATATGTGCAGAAATACAATGTTTCGAATTGTGATTTATTCGTCCATCCTCTGGGGTTGGCGCTAATGAAGGCTGACATTTCATAACTCCAAATCACTGGGCATGATTATTGCATCTTATGGTTGATAGAGTGAACTAGAGCATTTTTTGGTTTGTTTTGTAAGATGTACTTTCGCCTCTTTCATTCCTTAGCTCCGCAGTTACCATTTTTTTTATCATAATCGATGTGTGTGATTAGCCGTCCTGATTATTAAGCACTATTTAAAAACTGCACGTATATAATAAACAAATCTTGTGAACACAGTAATGAGCCTTCGTGTTCCATAGACCGCGGGTAATTTATTCGCCAGTTAAGCAAATATTAGCTTCTCAAGCTCCCATCTGCATAATTAGTTACTTTACGTTGTCGGTCATTTGCGTCACACGAGTTACATTTATTGTAGCATTACACAAGTATATAGGATACTTTGTTTTCAAAATTTTACTTCTATCAGAACTAGTAGAGGTGCGCTAATCCGACATATTTTTGTGCACCCTGTGTTGCTTTTGGCCAGCCGCAGTGGCCACGCTGTCTGAGGCATGGACCTCGTGCGCCTGGCCGCTGAGACCGTGGGTTCGAGTCCCACTCAAGGCATGGATGTTTGTCCGCGTCTCTCTGTGTTTGTACAGGTAGAGGCTTTGCGTCGGGCTGATCACTCATCCAAGGAGTCTTACCACTGTCCAAATAGATCAATAAAATGAATAAATAAAGCCTCTACACCTACGAGTAAAAAGAAGATAAAAGAGAAAGAAAGTGTTGATTTTGAATGAAGCGCCCAAAAATCCGTAATTTTAATTTTTCATTTATCAACATTGCGCAGCTTTCATAGTGACGAAGTATAATAAATTATTCTCTCGTCATCAGCTGTGTCAGGTGGTTGAATGGAGAAAACATCAACGTTTTGACAAACTATCTTCATCTTCATCTTCGTCCTCATTAAATTAATCTAAGCCTGGTACCCGATGACGAACATGTTATCCAATCGGAAAGCTAGGCTAAAAATAGTGACCACGTCACTTCGCACTCCAGTCCCTATTGGCTAACGCTCAGTCGTGATTACGGGGCACGGACGGGATCTCAATCAACTTAAGTACACTGAGGATGAGGACGAAGATGGTTGTCGAAACGTTGGTGTTTTCTCCATTCAGCCACTTGACACGGTTGTCAGCCCGAGAAGGATTAATTGTAGCCAAAGTATTGTGTCTATTTATTGTTACTGTTATGCGGGATACATACTCCGACATCTAATTATTACGCATGTAGTCACTGTTACAACATTAGGTGCTAAGTACAAATTACGAATCTCCGGAGTGTGTAATTTTATTAAGTTTCCTGTTACGTCTTCTTTCTTATTTCCATGTCCGTCCTTCTTTCAGAATAAGAAGGCACACTTAAACATATATAAAACACGTGAAATTATAATATTACACACTTTAAACAAGATGAGAACATTTGCAAGCCTTGCAGAGAAAGGATGCGATTTTAAAAATAGGTGCATCTGTTCTTTAAAATCGTACTTGTTTTGTTCTGCTGGACTAACAGAGGGAATTATTTATTTCCATAGTAAAATGCCGCCACACCAGCTTCTCTCGCTGGAACGTCTCGCACTGGAGGAATGTGGAAAATTATTATCCCGGATCCTTCATTCATCGGTCGCAACAGAGGAAGAAAAATTCAACCAAATAATACAAAACTGCGAATCACTGCTTGAACTGCCTTCCATTTTTAATAATGATATAACAGCTGTACTGTTACGTTATTTGGACGGACAATGGATGCATTTAAATTGGCAGAAAGAAAGAATGCAAATTGTCGCGGTTTCTGTTATTCACCCAAAAGCCGAAGTCATTGATATTACTTCTTGTTGTGACATCGGGAAATATGTGATGGATGCCATAACACGTTTATCGAATTTGATACAACTTTTTCCGAACTGTAATACTTTAAGAAATGTTAATGTAAGTACAACACTGAAGAAGTTTATATGCAGACTGAGCTGTGATGATCAAACACTTGGAGCTTTGACGACATGCACAGGTATCCAACATGTAGATGTCAGAGCATCATGGGAAGTAACTGACAAAAGTTTAAGCACCCTTCTCGGTCTCAGACAACTTAAGTATTTGAATGTAGATGGCACGTCAATAAGTAAGAATGGTCTAAGTGAACTTTTACGGAGCTTTTGTAATAGACGGGAGGTTTCACCGTTGTGCGGGTTTTATTGTTCTGACATGTCAACAGAACAGTTGCATCTTCTGATAAAATGTACACATCTTACGCACATAGGTATGGAAGTAAGTAAATGTGATGTTTCTGAACTAAAATCTTTAGGACATCTTCAGTCAGTACGTTTGCGAGTTTGCAGTTTTGATAATCTGCGAAAAATCTTTAAGGATATAGAAGGTAAATTATATGAAATCCATCTTGAGAGAATTAAAGAAGTTGACATAAACTTTATAGGTAAGACATTTCCAAAACTTGAAAGATTAACGTTGAAGGACTGTTGTTATCGTAGTGTGGTTCTAAGCGGGAGAATCAAACCTCTACCTGCATTTCAAACACTACTGATACTAAAACTTTTTAATGTCAAGAGTGAATTATTGTCATATTTCCTACACACGTGTTGTAACCTAATTGAATTTGTGATAGATACAGGCTTTAAATTGGAAGAATCTTTCAATGAGTTACCAACTATCGGTTCTGTTAAAAAGGTAGAAAAATTCGTTCTTTACACACGAAGTAATCGTATTCTATCAAAATCTTCTATGGAAGAATTGTTCAAGAATTGGAGAAGCCTTAAAGTTTTCAAAAACGCTGGACTCGAAAGGGAAGATTTGAATATAGACAGTTTGAAGGAAGAAATTAGACAAACGTATCCCAAAATTGATGTAACAGTGACTACAACAAGATGGCCTTCTCTATAGATAGCCAATTTAGAAACCCGGATTTAAGTCGGACTCCTCTGTGAAATCAAGTTACCTAGTGGTCTTGGTATAGAAATTTAATCCCTTGTAGTGAAGTTTCAGTTCACTTGGAAATATATTAAGAGTGCTCATATATATTACTCTAATATAAGTGAACATAATTTTATGTTTTAGATTCGTTCGTAAAATATTGCTTTGTTATATTACTATATTTTTAAAGTTTTTGTTTTGGGTATTTTAATCATGTTTTAATTTATTAATATTTATTATGTGGTATGATGTATTAACATTGCTAAATGGCAAATAAAATGTGTTGTGTAATACAATGAAGTTATTTAAAATTTATTGATATAGTAATGCACATAAAATCGATATTATACTGTTTCTTTTTATTTGTATTACGTTTTGACGGTACATTTAAAGATTGATCAAATTAGATGTATTTTAAAGTGAATGTTTACAACTCAAGCCAAGATTGAACCTAATGATTGTGAATAACCTTTTGTAATTGTAAATATCTTTTATTGATTTTCATAAGAAATAAATAAGAATTATAGAAAGAAGTATCAATTTTTAAAATAAACAATTTGAAACATTGTATTCAACACATTCTTAACAAGGCCTGAGAATGGTGATATATACACCGAAACATGTCACGTTAATAAAGTCAATGTGTCATATAAGCTGTTGTACACAATACATAACGAGATGCTGCAGTGTAAAGTAATATCTCAAGAAGTTTCTTCCCCCTCACAATATTAGTCTGTGGTTGTTTTCTGTCTTAAATTTCAATATTTTCGGGGAGAGGAAAAATCAGGAGCTTACTTATCAATTTCAGACTGGACTGAGTATTAAGTTACTAATATTATGTCTGAAATCACGTCATTCATACACCGCGAAACTTCATTTTCTGACATTTTGTTGGTCCAAATATATGTTTAATGGAGGATACGTAACACGTGTCCAATAATATATTGCACAGAACTTATAGAAGGGCTCATTTGTGAGTCTGTCACTTCCTTTTGTCTGTTCAAGATTTCTCGTTCTTTTTTATGTAATGATCGCTACGACTTGAGTTACGCGCGTTATCAGTTTTAATTAAATTCCTTGGCATAATTTGAGGGCACTCAAGTAGGAGTTGTTCCGTTTTAACTAGTGATTTATATGAACGAGGTAGAATTAGGGCTGTCACCGACTGTTCGGAAAGGTTTTTCGTGATTTTCCTCAGATAAAGTAAATTCTGGGATAGTTACTTTAAACAGGCCACGACATTGTCCTTCAAATTTCATACTACTTTTGTCCCTCTTGATAATCGTTGCGATCTCATTTGACGTTATGTAACGCGTGTTGTTAGTTATTAGTGCTTTTAGAGGCACCTCATCTGCACGGTTATCCGCGCCTAACCTTGGTCACCCTATCTGAGGCATGTTCGGTATTACATAGTTCGGACACTTGGATCGCGAATTTGAATTCCGCTCGGAGCATGGTTGTTGACCTATATCTGCATTTTTATACGGAGATACAGACTTTGCAATGAGGTAAATTGTCCAAGGAGTGCTCCCAAATATCTAACGCGTTTCGCTCTTTCATAAGTTAATGTTGAATCAGATCAGATCAAGATGGGCCTATGCAAGGAGGAAGTTAATACGTTTTAACACGATATATATATATATATATATATATTTTTAATTTTTCATGTGGTTTGAAGTGCCATTAATCTTGCATACCCCACTTTTTACAAAGTCTTGAGCAATTTTACTGTCAAACAACTGAAGCATGAAATTTACAAAACTGATTTCGGGGATAGAATAATATAAATTCTGTTCACACGAGATGGACCGAGAGAAAGGAGGTAGAAGGGGAGAGGCAGAGGGGCTGGAAAAATCAATGAATTTAATACGGCAAAGCTGCAACTAAAGTAACTCCTCCATTCACTTCTTGCTTCAAAGCCTTCTGCTTTACTTTCCACTTTATGGTTGTGGACAAAGAATCGAAGAAAATAGACGAGAGATTTTGAAGGATAACACATTTGATACACCATGACCTTTATTGTGGCCCTTTGACCTCTATGGTCGTAAAGCTGTAACGTCCCATGCTTGAACAGCAGTAGGATGAAGACACCTGACATAATCGATAAGACACAGAACTATCCAGAAATATTTAGTCTTAGAATTTTTTCTCAAGAGGCACAAATACATAGAGGATTCTTACAAAAGCGGGATTTGGGCTGATACAACCGCAGTTTCATATCTGTGCAATGTCAAATCCGGCCAGATTAAGAGTTCATAACATTTGTTATTTGTGTCTTCACAGTATAGTCTACTAAAGCAGAAGTTTTTATTTCGATTTTGAATTTTATAAAATTTTAAATGTGGTAACTTTTATACCGTACTTCGCACTTCTGTTCAAGTGAAGAGCTGTCGTGGCTAAAATGAAGATAGTGAGAATGGTTCTCAGACCCTACACCTTAAAATGGTTCACTACCATTTTGTTCCTCATACAAATTCATATTTAACAATCATACGTCTGTAGCACGGTGAATAGCTTACAGGGTTTAGAAAGCGTCGTTAAACAATTGTTTTCTTCTCATTATTGAGACGACGGGACTGTGCCGTTGCAACTACAGTCTGATCTCTTCATATCTGTTAAGTCTTCTTACACCTCTCCGACCCTTTGGCCTATATTCTAGAATACGCGGTATATATTTTGTCACTGTTTTCAGAAGGGTCTGTTGGTCTTCAGTGCGATTTTCAGGAATATAATTTCTGCTGCTTTTAAACGGATCTTAACTCTTGGGTCACTGCCTATAATTTGCTACTGTTTAAAGGAACTAAGAACTATATTAATTCTGGCGTTACTATTGGCTAGTTGTTAGCGTGGCCCTGTTTCAGTTTTATTTTATATTTATTATAGCAAGTAAGTAACGGTGTTCTTTTACTGCAAATCAACGAAAATAGCAGAACAACATTTTTAAACTTAGGAGAGAATGAAGCAATAGAGAAATTAAAGAAATTATGTAACGAATATTTTCATTATTTTGTCGTTCACTTAGTGTTATTTAGGTGGTAATTTACAAGATTTATAAAGGGACTTAAGTAAATGTAGAGAGAATGAGATATGTTTGTCAAAATTGATGAATTAGCGATATTCGCACGCACTTCAGAAGTTCTTAATGCCATCATGTAGGTATTATTTGTGGCAAGGTATTAAGATGTACGAAGGTGTTGCAACATCCAGTGTGCAAATCTAAGATTAGTAAGATTAATGACTGATTGTATCAAAGGTTATTAGTGAGGAGCGTACACACAGACACACACACACACATATAAGGGCCTACAAGCATACGGTGGTAACTTAAGCCTATTTTACTGTGGGACAAAAAGTAAGCCAAGAAACTCTGAAGAGAGCATGGAGGAAGGTTAGAGATGGTCCCCCTTATCTTTGTTAACTGAGGTGATATTGCTGTGTGTCTGATCTTGACTTAGTCTTTAAGTTTGGAAGGAAACACCATGACCTGTGTTAAGGACTATGTAGTATTCGTCTGGAGAAACTGGGGAAAACAAGGTACAATCTCGGTCCAGAAAATCGGTTTCCGGACCGAGATGACTTCACTAATAGGAGGTAGGCGTGCCAACAGGAGGTGGGATATTTAGTCGTATTTTATCTGCATGGAACTTGGTTCAAAACACAAGTCCCCATATTGAGTGAGGTAATATATCGCTGAATAATATAATAGATAAGGTTTGAGATTCTCACGGCGGTGAGTACGAAGTTGTCTGTCTGCTGATACTATCCCTGCATTTTCCTTGTGAGACTAAGGGAAACTACGAAATATCTCAGTCTGCATCTCCGAACCGAGATTTGAACTCGGGACCTTCCGAATACAAAGGAGTGTTAACTACTTGACGACGACGACGACGACGTTCGTTTCGTTCATAATCTTGTTTATGGTTTGTTGACAGTACATTGTTAAATAGCCTACAGATCTTTAAGGGATCATATTATTTAACGTCGAAGAATTTATTTCGACCGAAATTTTCTCTCCATCATGAAATAATATACAAACCGTAATCTCTGACGTGTTTCACTTGCAGGAAGGAAAGCAAGGGGGGGGGGGGGGGGGGGGCTTGCAAGCTTTTTGTGCATGTGACCTTCATATTTTAATTTTTTCTATGTACTGCTACTTCGACCTTTGCGATCTATGTTGTATATATGATAAACAAGAGATGGCGTGACACTTCATGTCTCTCGGGAGGTCAGTGGTTGCAGGACAAGGGGCGGGGTGCCACAGCACGCAGTAGCAAATCCGCAGGGAGCCGTTCTTTATGGGGTGCAGCTAGAGGGGTAAGGGTGAATGAAGGAAATCCACTGATATGAAAAATTAAAAAAAAAATGTGTAAAGCATACGTCGTCAAACAAAAGAGAAAGCATTGGTGCGGATCTAGAATAAAAATGATTTTTCATAATTTTTAGGGAAAATCCATACGTCTGTTTCTGTGTTGATCAGTAACTTCCGAAGATTCTGTGGTGAGAGCAGTCTTCTTGCGTTTTTGGACACATGTGGTTGCCTTACGTATGTCAGGATCTTTTATATCCCAAACTACTAAACAGACTTAAAAGAAGTTTGGAATTGGGGACCTACAGTAATATTTGTTAGGAATATTTAATTTTGCTTCACACCAATCTAGTGTACCACTGCTTTACCTGATTTTAATATTTGATTTTTCAGTCATCCTGTAATGCGTCGATAGGTTATAAAACGATATGTATTTTTAAAAAGAATTTGAA